GAGTTCGGGACTAGCCTGGGCAACTTGGCAAGACCTCATCTCTACAATAAATAAAAAATTAGGTGGACATGGTGGCATGTGCCTGTAGTTCCAGCTACTTGGAAGACTGAGGTGGAAGGATCACCGGAGCCCAGCAGGTCGATGCTGCAGTGGCTGTCCAGCCTGGGTGACAGAGTGAGAATCCTATTCAGAAAAATAGAAAATAATAAAAGGTCTGCTGCTGGGCTAAGGTGGTCTCTGGGAGATGGGTCCTTTATAATAGGGGATCATTGGGACCCTGGAACATAGAGTAGTTTGAACTTATTGTCATGTTTTCCTTTGCCTACTTTTTGATATCTAGTAATAAAAACCAAAGTTATATCTTAAGTGCTGGGTTCAGCTTTCTCTTTGATCCATGTAGGGTAAAAGGGCTGTGATGGGCTGTTTGTGCAGCCCAACTCTTGCCCAAATGGTCCTCAGTGAGGTAGAGAGACACTTTAGGAAGTTAAGAAAAAGACAGGCTTGGTTAACAAATTGAGGTGTCTCCCTTTGCTTTAGGGACATGTTTGCATTCTCAGAATTTAGCTTTGGATTGATTCTTTTAAAAACAGCCTTTTGCCGGGCTCGGTGGCTCAGCCTGTAATCCCGCGCCTTTGGGAGGCTGAGGTGAATGGATTGCCTGAGCCTGCGGCGCGGTTCAAGACCCGCCTGGGCAGCGAGACCTCATCTCTACAATAAATCAAAAAATCAGCCGGGCGTGTTAGCGCATGCCTGTAATTCCAGCTACTCGGAAGGCTGAGGAGGAAGGATCGCCGGAGCCCAGCAGGTTGAGGCTGCGGTGGCCGGAAGTGGCCACTGCACTCCAGTCTGGGGCCAGAGTGAGACTCCAACTCAAAAAAAACAAAAACAACAACAATAAAAAACAGCCTTTTGCCAGGCTCGGTGACTCAGCCTGTAATCCCACGCCTTTGGGAGGCTGAAGTGAGTGGATTGCCTGAGCCGGCGGGTTCGAGACCCGCCTGGGCAGCAAGACCTCATCTCTCCAATAAATCAAAAAATCAGCTGGGCGTGGTAGCACACGCCTGTAGTTCCAGCTACTTGGAAGACCGAGGTGGAAGGATCGCCGGAGCCCAGCAGGTCAAGGCTGCGGTGGCTGGGAGTGGCCACTGCACTCCAGTCTGGGCGACAGAGTGAGACTCCAACTCAAAAAAATAAAAAATAAAATAAAATAAAATAAAATAAAAATAGCCTTTTCTGGACCAAGTGCTGTGGCTGATGCCTATAATCCCAACATGTTGGGAGGCTGAGGCAGGTGAATCACTTGAGGTCAGGAGTTCAAGACCAGCCTAGACAACATAACAAGACGTTGTCTGTACAAAAATTCAAAAATTAGCTGGGCAAGATAGTACAGCCTGTAGTCCCAGCTACTAAGGAGGCAGGAGGATTGCCTGAGCCCAGGAGGTTGAGGCTATACGTGTTGAGCTGTGATCTTGCCATCACACTCCAACGTGGGTGACAGAGACTCTGACTCAAAAACAAAATGACAACAACAAAAAATAGCCTTTACGGAAGGTCTCTTATCTTTTCGGCTCAACAGAAATAGGGGCCCTAAATTCTTTTTTTTTTTTTTTTTGAGTTGGAGTCTCACTCTGTCGCCCAGGCTAGAGTGCACTGGTATGCTCACGGCCACCACAGCCTCGACCAGCTGGACTCAGGCAGTCCTTTTACCCCAGCCTTCCAAATAGCTGGAACTACAGGTGTGCATCACCACACCTGGCTGATTTTTTGACTGATTGTAGAAACAAGGTCTCCCCATGTTGCTCAGGCTGGTCTCGAACCCCTGGGCTCAGGCAATCCGCTCTACTCTGCCTCCCAAAGTGCTGGGATTATAGGTGTGAACCACTGTAGCCATCAAGGGGCACTGAATTCTAAAAAGCCTCTAGCCCTACAGAACTTTTGTCCTACACATGTAACTTTTTGTAATTTATATAGCACCACCTGTTCAAATAGTTTTCTGCACAGCCAGACAGCAGCACAGTAGTAACTAGAAAAGGTGTCTCTGGCCTATTGACAAAAGGAGGAAGAATGTAGACTTGTTCCAAGATTAGTTTATGTGTTTGTGCCATCTTTTTAGTTGGAAAGTACTTTCATATCCACTGTAATTTAATTATCAAACAATCCTGTGAGGTATGTGGTGGATATTAGTGCCATTTTATAGAGCAGGAAACTGAGGCTTACTTGACTATCTCATTTTATTTTCAAAATACTCTAGTACAGAAAAGTCAATTTCCTTGTCTAAAGCTTTATTCCTTAAGGTTAGTAGTATGATTGGTCTGCTGGGCCCAGTGGCTTACGCCTGTAATCCTAGTAGGTTGGGAGGCAGAGGTGAGAGGATTGCCTGAGCCCAGGGGTTCGAGACCAACCTGGGGAACTTGGCAAGACCTGGTCCCTACAATAAATAAATAAAAATTAGCCAAGCGTGGTAGTACACGCTTGTAGTTCTAGCTACAGGATCGCCTGAGCCCAGCAGGTCAAGGCTGCAATGCCCAGGAGCATGCTACTATACTCTAGACTGGGCGACAGAGTGAGACTCCTACTCAAAAAAAAAAAAAAAAAAGTAATAATAATTGGTCATCTTATTTCAAAGGTGGTGTTGAAGCCAGGCACAGTGGCTTGTGTCTGTAATCCCAACACTTTAGGAGGTGGGGGCGGAGGCAAGAAGATTGCATGAGCCCAGGGGTTCGAGCCCAGCCTGGGCAATATGGTGAGACCACGTCTCTACAATAAATTAAAAAATTAGCCGGGCTCGGTGGCTCAGCCTGTAATCCCACGCCTTTGGGAGACTGAGGTAAGTGGATTGCCTGAGCCCGCGGTTCAAGACTCGCCTGGGCAGCGAGACCTCATCTCTACAATAAATAAAAAAATCAGCCGGGCGTGGTAGCGCATGCCTGTAATTCCGGCTACTTGGAAGGCTGAGGCGGAAGGATCGCCGGAGCCCAGCAGGTCGAGGCTGCGGTGGCCGGGAGCGGCCACTGCACTCTGGTCTAGGCGACAGAGTGAGACTCCAACTCAAAAAAAAAAAAACCAAAATTAGTTGGGCATGGTTACTCACGCCTGTAGTTCCAGCTACTTGGAAGGCTAAGGCAGAAGGATTGCCTGAGCCCAGCAGGTGGAGGCTGTGGTAGCTCTGGTGAGTGTGCTACTGCTCTCCAGCCTGGGCAACAGAGTGAGACTCTGACTCAAAAAAAAAATTGGCCAGACTCAGTGGCTCAGCCTGTAATCCCAGTGTTTTGGGAGGCCGAGGTGAGTGGATTGCCTGAGCCCAGGGATTCGAGGCCAGCCTGGGCAACATGGCGAGACCTTGTCTATACAAAAAAAAAAAAAAATAGCCAGACGTGGTGGCGCACGCCTGTAGTTCCAGCTACTTGAAAGGCTGAGGGGATAGCCAGGCGTGGTAGCACACCCCTGTGGTTCCAGCTACTTGGAAGGCTGAGGCAGAAGGATCACCGGAGCCCAGCAGGTCGAGGCTGCGGTGGCCAGGAGCATGCCACTACACTCCAGTCTGGGCGACAGAGTGAGACTCCAACTCAAAAAAAAAAAAAACAAAGTTGGTGTTGAACTTCTATTGGAACTCTGCAATCTTCTCATAGAAAGTTCTTTGGAAAAAACCACTACCTCATACCACATAGAAAAAAACTAACTATACTGTCTATTTCATTTATTTATTTATTTATTTATGTTTGTATTTGAGATACAGTCTCACCTCTGTTGCCACTGCAGCCTTGACTTGCTGGGCTCAGGCAGTCTTCAGCCTCAGCCTTCTTTCCAAGTAGCTGAAACTATAGGCATGCACGACCACACCTGGCTAAGTTTTTAATTTATTGTAGAAGTGAGGTCTTGCCATGTTGCCAGGCTGGTCTCAAACCCCTGGACTCAGACAATCCTCTCGCCTCCACCTCCCAAAGTGCTGGGTCACAGGTATGAGCCACTGCACCCGGTGATTTCTGTAGTGAGGGATAGCTTTCTTGAGTTTCAGACCCATCTTTCTGGCTGATATTCTTTCAGAATCTATCAGTAAAAATTCTTTTCGTGGCCAGGCTCGGTGGCTCAGCCTGTAATCCCAGCACTTTGGGAGGCCGGGACAAGTGGATTGCCCAAGCCCGCGAGTTCAAGACCCACCCAGGCAACTTGGCGAGACTTTATCTCTACAATAAATCAAAAACTAGCTGGCCGTGGTAACACGCATCTATAGTTCTGGCTACTTGGAAGGCTGAGGCGGAAGGATTGCCGGGTCACAGCAGGTTGAGGCTACGGTGGCTGGGAGCGTGCCACTGCACTCTAGTCTGGGCAACAGAGTGAGACTCCTACTAAAAAAAAACACAATTATTTTTGTATAGGCAATAAACACTCACTTTTTGTTTATCTGAAAATGTGTTTATTCCTTTTTATTAAGTCTTTACCCCCATACATAACTCTAGCTTAATAATTATTTTCCCTTGGCACTCTTTTAGAAAGCTTTTCAGTTTCTAGTTTCCATTACTGCTGTTGAGTACTCTTCTGTCAGTTGTAGATAGTCTGTTTTCTCTGTGCTTTTTCCAGGAGGGTTAGAAGTACTATTGTGAAAGGCTGCCCTCTGCCTGTGGGCTCTCCTAGACTGGAAAGGTTGAAGTGCTGCCAAAAGACCAGGTGCAGGAGCGTTCTTACCAGCGGTGTTAAAAGTAATTGGTCAGTTTCCTCATTTATTTTCCTTGGGGCCACTCAGAAATATTGACAATTAGGTCTGGATGGGAAAGAGACTCTTCGGGGAATACTAGTGAAGCCATGGATGCAAGAAGCAGAGTTACACCTGCTGCTCTCCAGACTGGTAACTCCTCCCAAGCTGTTAAGGGCCTTTTACATACAGCTTTCTTGTGTTGAACTGTCCTAAGAGGCTAAGGTGAAGAGAGAGAGGTTGAGTCACTATTATTGTAAAGGAGGAGGGAGCAACTATTACATAAGGTTTTCATTTTTTTTCTTTGCAGAATGCATCCTGTCTTGTTCTTGCTGCCCGGCATGCCAGTGCTTCTTCCACGGTGAGGTTTGGAAAAGACTGAGAATCGTTGGGCAACCTGACCTCGGGACAGAGGGTTTGGTGATCACATGGCTTCTTATAACTGTCCTGCGTATTTTCTGGAAGTGTTCATTATTGTTGTCATTGCTACTATTATTACTATAGTACTTTTTTTTTTTGAGTTGGAATCCAGACTGGAGTGCAGTTGCATGCTCACAGCCACCACAACCTCGACTTGCTGGGCTCAAATGATCCTTATGCCACAGCCTTCCAAGTAGCTGGAACTACAGGCACACGCCACCACACCCAGCTATTTTTTTATTTATTGTAGAGACGAGGTCTCGCCAAGTTGCCCAAGCTGGTCTCGAGCCCCTGGGCTCAGGCAATCCTCTCATCTCCTCCTCCCAACTGGCCTAATATTTTAGATCATGTTAAACATAAAATTTATCATTTTAATCTTTTTGTTTTTTTATTTTTTTGAGTTAGGGTCTCACTCAGTTAGCCAGGTGTGTAGTGGCACGATCCTGTCTCACTGCAGCCTTGACCTGGGCTCGGGTAATCCTTCCACCTCAGCCTCCCAAGACAGGCACATGCTGCCACCCCTGGCTAATTTTTTTGTTTTTTTGTAGAGATATGGTCTCACTCTGTTGCCTGGGCTGCTCTCGAACTTCTGAGCTCAAATAGTCCTCCTGCTTCAGCCTCCCAGAGTGCTAGGATTACAGACATCAGCCACCGTGTCCAACCTTTAATCATTTTAAAATATATTGTTCAAGCCGGGCTTGGTGGCTCAGCCTGTAATCCTGCGCCTTTGGGAGGCTGAGGTGAGTGGATTGCCTGAGCCTGCAGGTTCGAGACCCGCCTGGGCAGCAAGACCTCATCTCTATAATAAATCAAAAAAAGTCAGCTGGGTGTGGTAGTGCATGCCTGTAATTCCAGCTACTCGGAAGGCTGAGGCAGCAGGATCACCAGAGCCCAGCAGGTCGAGGCTGCGGTGGCCGAGAGCGGCCACTGCACTCCAATCTGGGCGACTGAGTGAGACTCCAACTAAAAAAAAAAAAAAAAAAAAATATATATATATATATATATATATATATATTGTTCAGTAGCAATAAGCACATTCACATTATTGTGCTGTCATCATCACCATACATCTCCAGAACTTTTTTATCTTCCAAAACTGAAGCCCATTAACCAATATTCTGTTACCCTCTATTCAAAGCAACTGACCAGTTTCCTAGTGGATCATGAAAGCCAAATCCCAAAAAGCAAACTCTTCATACACATACTTTGCCGGAAATCTAATAAATTTTTGACCCTATTTCTGTTTTTAGAATTTGAAAGACATATTGGCGGGCCTAATCCCTAAGGAGCAGGCCAGAATTAAGACCTTCAGGCAGCAACATGGCAAGACAGTGGTTGGCCAGATCACTGTGGACATGGTAAGAATTGTAGGGTCTTGACTGGGGAAAGTGGCTCTGTACTTCAAAAAAATACCATTCTCTTCACTGACTATTCAAAAACGTTCTGTCTCATACAAGGAAATGTGGACAACCTACCTAATAGTGTTAGTAGAGATTAGGTTTATTTTTCAGCAGTCTTTTTTTTTCTTAGAGTCTTTACCCAGGCTGGAGTAAGGTGGCATACTCGGGCCACTGCAATTTGCTGAGCTCAGACAATCCTTCTGCCTCAGCTTTCCAAGTAGCTAGAACCACAAGCACGGTACCACTCCCAGCTAAGTTTCACCAAGTTGCCCGGACTGGTCTTGAGCCCCTGGACTCAGGTGGTCCTCTTGCCTCTGCCTCCCAAAGCACTGGGATTACAGGCATGGGCCACCACACCTGGTCCTTTTCTGCAATTTAATAATTGAGCCTAACCTAATTCACGTGTAGTAAGGATGGATGAAGTTTCTACTCCTATTCCCAACCCCTCAACTTTTGAGACCATGACTGACTGGCTTTGAGTTGATGCTGTACCAGCGATCAATTAAACCACAGCCCTAATAGGCCCTTTAGAACAACTTTAGGATGGCTTTCCCCAGCCTTAAGATTTTGAGCAGCTCTGATGAAGTTTCACAGTGGTTTTAGCCCTTGGTTTCCATAACCTTCCTCTGTAGTAGATCTCATTCTGTTTAACGTTGGTTGGTGGGAATTGGGGAGTGTGGGTGGGTTAGGAGTGGGCAGGAGAAAAAGATGACATACAGTAAGAAAGGGAAATTAACAAGCAGAAACATTAAAGAAAGTGACTTCTTAACTATAAAATTTCATTAGTATTAGCAGTTTTCCTTGCAAAGTTCAGATCTTTAGTAAATCAACTCTTCAGACATCTTCCCCCAAGTGAAATCTTGTAAGTCAGAGAATAAATTTCCTCTCCCAGATCCTATGAATCTGTAAGTTATACCCTGAATCATTCTGACTACTGGTCACGACCTCTTTTTTTTTTAATCATCTTTTTTAGATGTATGGTGGCATGAGAGGCATGAAGGGATTGGTATATGAAACATCAGTTCTTGATCCTGATGAGGTAAGACATCTTCATGTCAGTCACTAATAATCAATAATGGCTGTGCAAACCATGGACTACACCAGTAAGGGTAAGCAGCACAAAATGAAGCATCTACCTCCATATTTTGGAAGGTAGAGCATAGGTATGTACGGAATGACTGAAAAATAAGTTTACCTTTTTAATATGTCAACAAGCAAAAATTCAAGTACAAAAGCAGAATAAGGTGCTCAAAGATTTAAGTTTTAAAAATTCTAACTTGTTACGTGGTCTGATGAGTTCAACCAATAGTTCTGTGACTTCCAGGCTAATAAACTTAGTTGTATTTCTCACTCTTCTTTTTCAAGGGCATCCGTTTTCGAGGCTTTAGTATTCCTGAATGCCAGAAACTGCTACCCAAGGCTAAAGGTGGGGAAGAACCCCTGCCTGAGGGCTTATTTTGGCTGCTGGTAACAGGACAGATCCCAACAGACGAGCAGGTAAAGCAGAAAGACATTCATTCACTCTTCTCATTCCCCTTCCTCGTTGCCTTTTTCTGAAGGCAGACAATCCTGATCCGGTTGTGGGTGGGTGGTAGTTTATAGAGATGCATAGTGAGGGAAAGGAATTAGTTTTGCTGTATACATGGATTGGGTTGAACTGTCTTAGGTTTTCTTCCTCTTTTTTTTAACCTGTATAGCACGTTGCTGTGCTGAGGGTTTTCTTTACTTAAATGTCACTGTTGGCTGGGCTCAGTGGCTCAGCCTGTAATCCCATGCTTTGGGAGGCCAAGATGAGTGGATTGCCTGAGCCTGCGGGTTCGAGATCCGCCTGGACAACTTGGTGAGACCTCATCTCTACAATAAGTGAAAAATTAGCCGGGTGTGGTAGCGCACACCTGTAGTTCCAGCTACTTGGAAGGCTGAGGTGTGGAAGGTTTGCCGGAGCCCAGCAGGTCAAGGCTGCGGTGGCCGGGAGCGGCCACTGCACTCCAGTCTGGGCGACAGAGTGAGACTCCAACTAAAAAAAAAAAAAAAGTCACTGTCCTTTTATTTTTCTCCTTCCTTTTCCATGCTAGTGTTCTGAGCAGTGTCTTCTTTTCCAGGTATCTTGGCTCTCAAAAGAGTGGGCAAAGAGGGCAGCTCTGCCTTCCCATGTAGTCACCATGCTGGACAACTTTCCCACCAATCTACACCCCATGTCTCAATTCAGTGCAGCCATTACAGCCCTCAACAGTGAAAGTAACTTTGCCAGAGCATATGCAGAGGGCATCAACCGAACCAAGTACTGGGAGGTAGGAAATTTGGATGGGGATTCAAAATACTTGAATGTGAAAGGAAGAAAAGGAATATAGGATATTTAGAAAAATTACTTATCTGAGTTATGGCCAGAAACTTTACTTAACACATTTTCATTGTAGTCTTGTTTTGTGCTGGTGGTTGGGATTATAAAGATAAATAGAGCGTGGTTTATATCACCAGGGTTATTGGTTTGGTTACGGTGACATGTATAAACAAAACTGTTTTGATACTGTAATCTTGTTATATTATTAGCTGGGCACAGTGGCTCATGTCTGTAATCGCAGCGCTTTGGGAGGCAGAGGCAAGAGGATTGCCTGAGCCCACGGGTTCAAGACCAGCCTGGGCAACGTGGCAAGACCTAGTCTCTATGATAAAAATTTAAAAATTGACCGGGCGTGGTGACTCAACCCTGTAATCCCAACACTTTTGGAGGCCAAGGCGAGAGGATTGCCTGAGCTCAAGGGTTCGAGACCAGCCTGAGCAACTTGGTGAGACCTCATCTCTACAATAAATCAAAAAATAAGCCGGGCTTGGTAGTGCATGCCTGTAGTTCCAGCTATTTGGAAGACTGAGGCGGAAGGATTGCCTCAGCCCAGCACGTTGAGGCTGTGATGGCCATGAGCATGCCACTGCACTCCAGCATGGGCAACAGAGTGAGACTCCAACTCAAAAAAAGAAAAAGAAAAAGAAAAATCAAAAAATGTGCTGTACATGGTGGTGTGTACCTGTGGTTCCAGCTACTTGGAACTGGCTGAGGCAGAAGGATCGCTTGAGCCCAGCAGGTTGAGGCTGCAGTGATCATGAGCATGCCCAGTACACTCCAGCCTGGGTGACAGAATGACACTCTGACTCAAAAAAAAATCTTGCTGTATTAGGTGTGTGTGTACACAGGGCTCTTGAAACATTGAAAAGGATGCGACTTGCCGGGCTTGGTGGCTCAGCCTGTAATCCTGCGCCTTTGGGAGGCTGAGATGAGTGGATT